GGAGGTCGGACATGACAACTCCGCGGTTTATGGGTGAATCGTTTGTGAAGTGTCGTAAAGTGAAATGTAATCTATTCACAAGTCTAGATTTGCGAGTAAACGTATAGATTTGCGAGTAAACGTATAGATTTGCGAGTAAACGTCTATTACTGTTAGGATGGGGGTTCATCACCGATACAAGCTATCAAGGACAGGACTAACTGAAGATGGGATTTTTTAAAAATAAATGTAATTTTCTTGTTTCTCTAACAGAAGTTATCATCTCTGCTTCGGGGAATCGAACTATGTAGTCATCTGAACCATTGCCTTGTTTTTGTCTTGCCTCGTGAGCTGTTGAGAGTACAGCAAGGAGGTCTTGGAGTACAGGAACTGCTGCGAAAATGTTATTTTACATATTATTTCCAGTTATAAACTCAAACACGGTAGGCTCCGCTCACTGGAAGAGCTGAAGCTCTCTACATCTGTGGAGGCCCTTGAAGTCATTGGTTTGCTTGTTTGTTTGTTTGTTTGTTTGCTTGTTTGTTTGTTTGAGTAAAGCGAAGCAAATGTGGGTGGTTGGCTCCTTCTTTCCTACCAAACTTCTATCGTCCTGATCTCTCCTCCTTTTTTGGGTTTGTTACTCTCTTGTAGCACCTCTAATCGTCCGCACTTATATGACCTTATTGTGTTGCAAGTGCCGTAAAACTCTTACTAAAACTAAGAAAAGCAAATCCACACAATAACGACCATTCAGTGCAGGAGAAAAGCAGGACAGACAGACACACACACAGACACAACAGAGGGAGAGAAGAGAAGTAGGATCTGCCAGTGGCCCAGTGGCGGCCTCCAACCACCCGCGTAGTCAAATGCAGTTTTATTCTAATTGTTATTTAAATAAAAATTATTCTAATTATTATTTAAATTTTCCGTGTGTCTGATCAGAATCATCGACAAGCTGGACGGGGTGCGACTGCTTTGGTCACTGTTGAAGAACCAGAACAAGGAAGTACAGGCGAGCGCTGCGTGGGCCATCTGCCCCTGTATCGAGAACGCCAAGGTAAGACTGGGTCTGGATGTCTTCTATTTACACTCATCAGGGATGGGGTGGAAGGAGGATAGGAATAGGAGGATTAGAAAAGAAAAA